AGTATAGCTGGCGCTTTGGAAAGGTGAGACTATTCAGCTTTCATAGAGTGGTCGATGATGTAATTATCTTAAGGGGTTGTCGAGAAATTACGAAAAACGAAAAAAACGAAAAAAACGTCGTTTCTCTGTTACGTAACGAACATTACGTAACTTTTGTTACATAAAAAGTTGCGCAACGCTTGCGTGCATCTGATTATGCAATAAAATCATAAAAAAGTTTATTACTTTTCGAGTTATTATCGAAAAACTGAATAACATCCATTATTTTAGTATGGTTATATGAATAGTTACGGTTATGATCTGTAGCTCTGCAGAAAATAAAAATCTTGAACATCGTATATAATATAACTGAAATAATGTAGTCTCAAATTAAAGTTCTTATCCTACCGGTTTACTTCCCGAGGGCAGCAGGGATTACTCACTCACTCACTGTCTTTATCTTTTGCATCGAGCGCGTCTAGACTTGGGAGGGTTTAAGGTCGACTTTATTTATTGGTGTTCTCAAAGAATTCCATTGTCCGATGTACGTTACGAGGATTTCAAATATTAGATTCATTCAATGTAGTCGGAAAAGTTAAGAAAATTCAATTAGAATGGTAATGAAAGCACTTGCAGATTGGGCATCAAAGGGATGGGGGCAAAAGCACTAAAAGCTGCTGAACGCTACCTTTGATCCTTAATTATTAGTCGCCAGCATTAGCACAGTAGTGCAGGTTACTCAGGGGATCAATCAAATAATCCCGATGATTTAATTCCACCGTAATACTTGACACACAATAAAGCAATTTGTACAATACTTTATAGTTCATTTGAAAAGAATATAAAATATCTATACAGATTCATTATTTCTTAGCGTTCGCGAATTTCCTCGAGCCGCATTAATTAAATGCGAAATTCTGAAAACCGAAATTTCCCGAATTACATTCTATAAATAAATAATTTGTTACATAGAAACGTTCGCTGAATCGAAATAAAAAAAAAAATAATATAATGTTATTAAACGTGATTAATAAATGGTTCGGAGAAAAAGCTTGGACGTCGATGATTAAGCGAATTTGCATGCAAACGTAACACACATCTGTGCGTTTGACTTTTTGTCTTACGTTACGGTTATGAAATATTTGTTTCGAAAATTTATTGAATTTAATGAAACAACAAATGGGAATTGCAATTTGGATAATTCCCAAAAACTAATCCGATAAAAAGATAAAAAAGAAAAGATAAAAAGAGATAATTTGACTTTACGCAAGGTCAAGGTTCTTGCCTAAAATTGTTCATTTCTTGTTTCGTTGAAATTCCATCATGCACGCTCGGATTCCCTCGGAGGTAAAGGACCTTCGAGTGTCGTTGGCCCTAGAAAGTCGATGGCGAAACGAAAGACAAGTTATTTTAAGTGCACATTTCACAGAAATATTTAGGATAAACAAAAAAAAACTGTATCATCGAAAGCGTAAAGATCAAGTAAGTTCAATGTCCTCATCGGTTTATTGTGAACTCAAGAGTTCTATATGTATACACTTATAAGATCTGTGCGGAACGGAAAGAGGTGAAGAAGTAGGTTGTTTGGTCGATATCACGATGTTCGCGTCCATTGTGCGCTGTGTCAAGGTCGCTCTTTGTCGTGGATTGAAATAATAAAATGAAAAATTACAATTTTTGTCGTAACGTATCCGTAACAGAATTGTTTTAATTGCTAAATTATTATAATACGTTACGGACTCGAACAAAACACTAATAGAAACGATTAACATGTTTCTATTGGTGCTCGTAAAGCAATGTTACCATGACAATATGATAAGTAGCAAATGACGCAAGTTGCGGTGAGCATTACAGACAGAAAGAGAATCAGCATCTTCCTGTTCGCTAATATCAGTTGGAATTGTTAACGGGAATTACAATAATTGAATTAATACGCAATAGAATGTTAAAAAAAACAAAATCAATTTGCATATTGGTATAATTCGCTTAAAAATTTCGGTTGCGGCGACGGAGAACGGATAATTGCATCAACGCTACACATCTCGCCAAATGGGATCACTCTTAATAGAAATGCAAATGGATTAACGGTCTCTGCTGTCGGGATTTGAGCATATCGTTCGTTTCGAGACGTGTGACATTACGTAATGACGTCTCGTTCGCTTTTACGTAACGTAACGCTTTTATTTCAGTCGTTTCCATGGTTATTTTTTTTAAATGACATTTGAGATATGTCATTTTTGACGGATATGGATCTGGGGGGACGTTTGTGAATGTAAGCGCGTATTTATTAGTCGCGTATTTATAGAAACGAATTCCGGACTGCAGATTACATAAGTTGCTGCTGCCGTCGCCGCCGTTTGGCCACTTATCAACTCAATTATTTATCATCGGTTTGGCCGTGAATTTCGCGTGCGCCACACAAAACGTTGCAAGGGCGAGCGGAAGGAGTGAGGAGTGGAGGCGGAGGAGAGGATAATGTATAGATGCGGCCCGAGAGTCCTTCGAATCCGGCGACCTTGAACCTGATCCAGGAGGCGCGCGCCGCCGCCGCCGCCTCCTCTGATTCTTTAAATATAAATTACGGCCTTCGGGGGGGGCAATGTCAAAATATTACGTTCTAGAGATTCACTCACTATCATCGCACTAAGGATTATTATTTATATAGAAGTAAAACGTGTTTTTATTATATAAATATACATATATATTATGCGTGGGCGCTGTCTATTTCTTTTTATTCTTACTTTGAGCTGCCTTCGGTTTCGGCCCTTTAGTCTTCTTCTTGCTACGCTTGCTCCTTATCCTATCGTTTCTGCTGTCCTTCCTCATGCGCGGATCTACCACCTTGTACGGACCCTTTATTCCAGCGGGTCTCGCCACCCTTTTGCCGGCGCTGTGCTTCTTCGCCACGACGTACGTGACCTCCTCCTTCGTGGTTCTGTGAGCCTTCTTGTACAGCTGCTTAATCTGCTTGGCCTTCTCCCTGTCGTCCACGTCGTTGTTATCGATCAGAGCCTCGACCTTCTTCTTCGCCTTCTCCAGCTTCTTCAGAGTCCTCCTCTTCTTCCTGGCCTTGGCCTCGATCACCTTCTTGATCGGCCTAACGTTGATCTCTTCCAGACGCTTCTTGTAATCGTCCACCAATTCCTTCGGAACGTTAGCCTCCTTCTTCATGTGCTTGTTCTCATCGTCCACGAACCAATCCGGCAGATTCTTATCGTTGAACGTGTACCTGTTCCACGCCGCATCGATCATATCGCGCTTCGCCTTCTTACTGTTCACCAGAACAGTACCCAAAGCCAATTCCTCGACAGTCAACTTCCTCTTACCCTTGATCGGCGTACTTTTCACCACCTCAAACCCATCCTTCTCCTCCTCCTGTTTCTTAGCGGAATGCTTCTTCTTGATCTGATCGAAATCATAATCACTCTCATCCGAATCGCTACTGTCTTCATCCGTACTGTAATCGCTATCAGACTCGTCCTTGCTCACCTCCTTCTTAACAATCTCCTTAGCTTTGACCTCCTCCCTCACCTTCATACCCTTGCTCTTGTACAGCTCCGCCAACTTATCCAGATCAGCGTCCTCGTCCTTCTCGCTAATCAAATTCTTAAAAATGTCGCGTTCGAAGAACATCTCCGCTTTGGAAATCCTCTTTTGCTCCTTATTCCTGTTATCCAAATCCGTGATCAGCGGATTCTTCTCTTGCTTCTTCTTTTTCTTCGGCGATTCGTCGTCTTTCTCATCATCGTCGTCGTCGCTGAAACCCAAGCCTTCTTTGATAACCTCATCATCATCTTCATTTCCACTCTCCATTTCTAACTCGGAATCGGAATCTTTATAATACAGTCCAGAACTGTCTAAGTGGCTTTCGCCCTTCTGATATCTCTCGTATTTCGCTTGAGCAACATAATCAATTTCCTCTTTGGCGACGATGTTCGGATCCTGATCGAGAAGTTTCTCCATGTCCTTGGAAGACTTGACCATCTTCAAATTGAACATTTCGTCACCCTCCATCGTCGGACCTTCGTCGCCTTTAAGCACCATCTTCAAGTTCAACTTCTCGTTCAACTTTTTACGCTCCTTCAGCGCCTTCTTTTTCTTGCGCTTCATCTCCTTCTTCTCCTCATCTTGCAATTCGGAAATATGATTATCGATCTGAGTCTCCTCATCTTCCTCCTCCTCAGCAGACTCCTCGATTTCGTCCACTTCCTCCTCCTCCTTCTCAGGCTTCACGAACTCTGCATTCATTATCTTCCACCAAGCCAGAAGCTGCCTCAAATCCTTACGACCCAACACTTTGATGTCTTTGCAGCACTCCTTGATTTCGTTTGTTGTGCTCTTATGATTAGCTATCCTATCATCGTCGAAAACAATCTAGAGAAAAATTAATTAGTAAATGGAAAATAGGCAACCAAATAAGCAATACTCACTTGCGTAGCAACTTCCAAAGCCCCAATTCCATTAGGATGCTTAACAAATTCAGAAACCGGCAGTTTATTGGTCATGGTGTAGTTGTTATCTTCATATCCCTCAACTTTGCTTTTCTTTGTTTTCTCTGGATGCAAAATGTTCAGCTTATTTTTTGGCTCAATGTCCAACTCTTCGAAAACGTATTTAGGATCCATGAATTTGGGGTCCAATTTATCGGGGGCCATGTAATATTGGCAGACGACGAAAATTTCGGCGGATTCATTACGCGAAGCTTGCGGTTTCGTGGCGTGGACTTTCTTGAAAAGTTGCTTGAACACCCACATCAACGGCTGGTAATCTTTCGATCGGAACACCTTCGTTACGAACCAACCGCCCTTCTTCAAGAACTGCGTCGCCAGTTTCAACGCGCTCAATGTCAAACACGCCTGCTGGTAGGCATCAAAGAGCCAATTTTTACCCACGTTCGGGGCACCATCGTTGAGCACAACATCAGCCTTCCATGTTTGCAGTTCCTTCGTCAGAGCAACCCTGCATTTCTCCGTTGTGATATCCTCCACTAAACCGATGCAACCCTGGATGGGTTTGATAGGGAACAGATCGATACCTGAAACGCAATCACATTCAAGCATCTACACAGAAAATCAAACAACAAAATAAAACTTACCAACAACGATGCTCGAAACGGGCATGTTCTGTCTGGCCACTTGCATCCATCCTCCCGGAGCTGCACACAGATCTATGCATACTCTGGACTTTTGCAGGAATTCGAATTTTCGATTCAACTGAATCAACTTGAACGCGGCACGAGAACGAAACCCGGTTTCCTTGGCCAACTGATAGTACTTATCCTTACGCTGCTTTCCAATTTTCGATTTCTTCGGCATCTTGATTGATTATTATTTTTTTTTTGGTGCAAAATCAACAGAAAGAAAAACACACGTGTGCACCAACTAGTTACATGCCCACGACCACGACTGAATTGTGAGGTTAACTTGATAAATTTTTCTTCACATTGTTTTGCCGATAAAGAAGAGACCGCACTTATCGACAATTAGCAATCAAATATACACGCATGTCACACGGATTGCCTACATAATTAAAACATTATTTTTGTTCTCATTTCATTATTATTTAATACAATTTACATTTCCCTTTCTATAACAATGAAAATTGTATTTCAATTGAAATAATCACATAATCAATGATTTCCAATTACTATATTTTTTTCTCTCCCAGCTCTGCCATCTAGCAACTGCGTTAGGAACATAATATAGAGCTTATACGGTAGCATATATCACAAGTTCATTTTAAACTTTCCATAGAAAAATGTTAATAATCAAAGTTAGCATACGAAATATTATAATTGAATGTTATAAACACTTATTCGGAAAACAAAAGTATTAAGTAAACAATTTTTTAAGGAAACAAATAACCATAGTAACGTAACTAAGTTACCGTTGAATTATGTTTGTAACCAAGCGATGTTTGTTTCAATTAATTTGATTTGTAATAATATTGAAATATCAATTTTAATAAATGCATACGAAATGCGAATACGGAATGAATGCGCGACAACAACGAGATTAATACAAATCTTCGTAACAGCACGCAAAAATTGAATTTAATTGAAATCGAAATTACATAATTTAATTAAAATAAACTTGTTTAGCGCCCTTTCCGAATTGTTTCAATTAATTTGCACTTCGTCAATATTTGCCAGAGGAATTTAATTAAAAAAAAAACAGAGAAGAGAAGAAAGTGGAAAAAGGGTGAACTAAAATATAACGAAATTCGTTGGGAGTGAGGAGGGTCAAATAATATTAAGAATTCAGTAGGCCTCGAAATAAGAAGAAGACGAGGAAAAAAAAAAGAGAGAAGTACTAACAGTAAAACACTTTTAATGTTTGCACGTTTCAACGTTACTTGTATATAGTTTCTCTCTCTCTCTCTCTCTCTACTTCGTTTAGTGAAAGTTCTTCTCTCTCTCTTTCCTTTTTTCTCCCTAAAGGACATAAACATTTTCTAGCGTACAATTTGAGTCTCTTTTTGGGCACGCGAAAAGGAGGCTCTAAACTAGTGGAAAGGAAAAGGAAAGGGACGAAACAGGGATGAAAAAAAAAATTGTGGACCGCCGCCTTTGGGAAATCGTAAAACTTAAAAAAAACTGGGGGAGTTGGCTTAGACGTAAATTTGCCACCACGAATTATATAGTTGGCGCGCGTCTCCCCGAATTTATTTAAATGAAAGAAAGAAAGAAAATGTTCGAGTGTTGGAGCGCACACAAAAAAAAAGTCCTAATTCAGAATGAGATGACCCCCTCCCCCCAAATGCGGCTAATAAGGACCGGAGTGAGCGAGAATCGGATGTGTCATTAAAATTTAATGATGTACTTTCTGCGCGGGGCACTTACGCCGTTCGTTGCGTATAAAAAAAAAGAAGATATCTTCGTTTATTTCGCGACGAAATCGTGTTCAGTTTCGCGTGGAGAAATAAATGAGGGAAAACAAAATTGATTTTCCTTGTTTCTTTTGCGATTATTATTTCAAATTAATTTGAGTAACAATTAGTAAAGTTTCTAGAGAATGACAAGTGCTTGTTGTAATTATCAGTACCTCGCATAGTGCGGTTTCGATCAGTGTATTTGAAATTTTCAATATAAACTCAATTTTGACATAATCACTTTTCGTGATGTTTATTTTAAGGTTAGGTTAGCTTAGGTTAAAATTTCAAATAGTAAATTTCTTGACTATGTAGCAAACATAAATCATACATTATACACACTTGATGCTAACTAAAAATTCAATATAATAAAAATCTTTCTAATAAAACGTAAAAATTGTTGTGGGAAATAAACTGAAAGTTTTAAATCGAATTGCGTTGATCAAAGGCGGCTGGGGTGTCCTTGCAGCAGGACTATTCGTAAACAGTTGAGAATTTAAAAGAGGACTTAAAGTGTACTCGTGACGACAATTATTTACGTTATAAAAGGTGGAAGAGTTTCCAAAAAAAAAAAATCGTTGATCTTTTTACAATTCACGTATTGTTCAATTGAAGACCAAATTTAATTGAATTAATGATTCGTCCTACAAAATTAACGTAACGTAACGTAATTATTTTGTCTTTGTAAGACATTGGTCATAGGCCTTTTGATCCAAATTGGGGACAATAAAAATGTGTAATTGTTAACTTGACGAAAAATGTTCAAATATATGTATAATTCAAGAAAACTTAATTTCTTCTAAATTCTATGAAACTTAAGAAAAGTTAAATGTAAATTGTCAAAGTAAAAAGTTATAAAAATATTGAAATAATTTTTAACTTTTTCTCTAAAATATATAAAGTTTAATCTAGAAATAATCTAAAATTTTCTTGTCATAATCGCACGAACAATCCCATAAAGGAATAAACACATATTTGTTTTATCGCCAAGTCAATTCTTAAACATTTTAAACATAATACTCCTTCATACGAGTTTTTACAGCTTTACGAGTTTCTCAACGCGGAGCGGTCAAGTGTGTACGTCGTAAATGTTTCCCCATTTATCCACATTATTTTCATCCCGTTTCTATTTTTCAGTGGGTTTCGAAATGCGAAAGAGCGCTTTTCAATTATGAACGAATCGATCAACAACGAAAATGGCAACGAGAAAAGTTTTCAAGCGTGTGTCGTCTCCTCTTAAACGATGTTTGCTGCAGTTTTTGTGAAAAAATACAAAGAAAAATATATATTTTATATTACGTATAAATAATAATCATATATATATATAAATTTCTTGTATTGTGCCCTATGTGGAAGGGCAAAAAACCAAGGGTTTAGGCCCTCCTTCAAAACATATTTCCGAGCAGAGTTTACGTAGTATATATATATGTAGTAGCGTGGGCGGAGTCTGCCGGGTTTGCGGAGCGCAAACTTTCTACTTAGTTTGCGGACAACTCGCGCTCTGTGAACTGCATCATCGTCATCCGCTCTTATCAATTTTGTTGAGTGCAACAACAACAACAACAACAACAAAAACAACTTAACACCCTCTTCGTAACAAAAGAAAAACAATTTGTTTTTTCACTCACCGATTGCTCGATTCATAAAGGAAGTAAAGCAGAAAATGGCTTCTTTTGGTAACTTGATGGTACCCGTCTTCGTGTTGACTTTGGTCTTCGGAGCCGCGATGGCTTTGCAATGCATGAAGTGCGGCCAATACAACGACGGCGTCGGCTCCATAACGCCGTGCATCAATTACACCCATATGCAATTGATTAATTGTCCATCGTCGGAGCACGTCTACTGCATCGTAAGTTAACAATTTTTCAACAAAAGAATCTGAAAAAATATATCCAAAATTAATATGATTTAAATACAGGAAGAAATGTTACGTTTTCAAAACTTTCAAATTAGTTTGAAATTCGATTCAAATATACAAAATTTGTGTTTCAAGTAATGAATTTCATTGAAAGAAAAGTTAGTAATTTGTCACAGTAAATGTCATTTTTTTGCAAGTTCTATTCATATATGTGTGTGTTTTATATAAAGAAAAACATATGTAAGGAAGTGTCGATAAAATTGGGTAAGAAAATTCTTTTTATTTTGAGGGCGAGCAAAAATGTTATAAAATACGGAAAGAGAGAGAGAGAGAGATAAATGGGAAACGTCATGGGAAAGACGAGCACAAAAGAAAGTTTTTCCGGATGCGGCTCGGACGGAATGGAGAAAAGTTTTTCCTCCTCCACTTTCCGGACATTTCCCCCAAAAACGGCGCCCAGAGTTCCCGTTCATTAGCATCCTCTTTTTTTCACTATTCTATTCTATTACGAAACACAAATCAGATCAAATAAATAGTTTATGTTGATGTTGATGTAACATAAAACGCATTAATCTAAATACACAATTCAAGGAAATTGTTGTTTTTCTCTAGATTTCTATATAAAAGTCACTAAATATACAATAAAAATGACATTATCTGTCAATTCGTGTAACTTAGATAACCAAAGTTGCATTAATTTATCATTATATAAGTAAATTTATAATTTACAATTATTGCGTGTCAAAATATTGGTAAACTTGTAAATTATAAATTGAAATACGTCATCTTATCATCAATGTTCAAGTAAATTTACGTTTTGTTACATGATTGAGTATTAAAAAAAAAATTAAACTGACATTAATGACGTAAGTAGAAATGTCATTAGAAATGGAAAGAAACAATGCATTTGCACAGCGGTCGTCATGGAGATTTGTTGTCAAGGAATTTCATTAGACCGAATGAACGTTTGTTAATAATAAATAAATGGGGAAGGGAAGAATGTTGGAGGGCAATTTCTGCACACAAACAATTGATCGGTTAATAATGCACGTGCAGCGCCTTCGGGCTATGCCCAAATTAATTATGGAAAATCTCTTTGACTTCCCATCAAACCCAACATAATGACATGCATGACGTAACCGTAACCGTTGCCGTTGCCGTGCATATCAGATCATCCGAAATTGAACCAATCACAAATTGCATTGTACGTAATTATATGAACTATAGTGTATGAATTTTATCGCTTAGTACAATTTCTATCATATAAATGAAATTTTAAACACGTAATTAAGAAATAATACGCGTGTTTTGGGATCATTTAACAAGTATTTATCGATGCAAAAAGACCAAGTCTGCACGTCTATATTTATATGCACGAGTCGAGTGCGAGGGGATGAAATGTGGAGCGAGCGACGGAGACAACCCAGGTGAATACGATATAATTTAATTTATTACGCCTGGTCGACGTTTACGTATTTCCGCGTTACGGCTACGGTTTATTCCCCCACTTGATGCGACTTGCAACACGACACTATCTATTACATCTAACCCCCACCTATAGAGTGGACCATTTTTTTTACGTAATATACACACATAGAGAGCTTAGAAACGAGTATAGTATATAGTCTCACCTACACGGTATTTTCTCTTATTTACGTAACCATCGCTCATGCACTAAAAGCTTTCGACTATATTTCACCTCGCATTTTCTGCAGGCAATAAACGCATTCTTTATACACTCTTTATGGATATAAACTGTGTCTTTGGCGAGGGAGAAGAAAAGAGGAATATTATATTACCATGCCTAAAGTGATGTAATATGAAAAATCCGTAACGTTGCAAATATTAATATCTTCCATCACAACTACACTACACATATTTAATAAGAAACGTGATTAAAAATCGTTTGAAATTCTTAATTTAATAATAAGTATGTAGTGTAGATTATATACAATTTATATGCAGGTAGTTTTAGCTTAATGAATTTCTATTTTATGCATTCCACGTTTCGACAAGATATACTTTTTCCCCGAGACATTTTAACAAAATGAGTTCTCTCACTCTCATGCACGAAATATGAATTAATTTTTTCGAAACTTAACTTAAAGTACAGTTTTATGCTTACGAAAATCTAAGTTAAATATCATTTTACACATGAAATAATCCTGTACAAACAGTGATTGCGTGAAATCACTGTTTTCTTTAAATTAAAACGACGAAATATTAGCATTTCCGAATGTGGATGGGTGTTGTGGCGTTTCAGCTCTCGCTGTAACTTCTGCGGTTTTAATTTAAATGTTAATACGACCGACATGTGGGTCACTACTATTGGCCCGGAAAATCTGTATTGTCAGACGGCCAGAAAACTCGCTATGCAAATGAGGAGAAAAAATTAATTCTAAATTGATTATTTTTCTCTCCTTTCATACTGAATGACGTAAAATTTTGTATAATTATTAATAAGCATTAGTTACGATTGCAGTTTTGAAATTTGATATGTTTAAGTTAACGAAATTTAACGATTCCGATTCGCAATTAAACGTCGCACCCTTGTAATTTTTGCGCTCGAGAATGGATCGAGAGAGCCGCGAATTTGAATAATCAAATAGAAGGAGAGTGGAACCGCATCCCCGGATCCCATAATTTATGCACCAACTGTTTGCATTTCTGGACCGAATGTGAAAAAACCATTTGAATGTTGAATAATTTGTTTTTAATTACCGTTGTTTCGCTCGTTGTTGGCAGCGACGGTCTTGTCGCTAAATCGCGGGAGACCTGTAAAAAAAAAAAACAACAACAGTCATGAGAAATGAAATAAAAAAAAAGAAGATAAATTAGGGCGGTTAATTCAAATTTTACATAAGGGAATTCCACTAATAAAAAGCCACTTTTACAGATTATGAGCAAGGGGCGGTAATTAAACAGCGTTATTATCGCGACAAATAAGGATGCTAAATGTAAGTAAGCAAGTTTTGATGGGAAATTCGTCGGTTATTCAGATTTAATTACGGATTTCCTTCTCTTTCTATCTTGTCCGATACGAGCGCAGCACACAATAGGCGTCCGAGCTTTGCCGCGCGGCGAGAGATTCCATTAAGCGCTGAGGAGGAAGTAATTTCGTTTGGATCTAAGGGGAAGAGAAGAAAAGGCGATCTCTCCTTACCCGGTGCCCACTTAATCTATTTTTTTTTTCCTTCATCTTCACATGCCAACGCCATCTGGCGCACTTCATGACCACCGTTTTTGAACGAAACCGATGGATAATCACGGAAACAAATGACGCCGAAACAATAAACGACTTTTTAATTTCCATCCATTTTTCACAACGATCTCAAAAGTTAAATTCAATATTTCAAATATATTGACATTTTAAATGTCAGTTTGATAATTAGTATTTTATATTTTGTGACAGCTGTCACCGTGTGTCAAATATACATGGAGAACTGTTAGCAATTAGGTTGCAGCATAACAAAAAGGTTGAGAAACATCAGTCTACACACTCATTTTTCTAAATCTAAAGGTCTCAACCTATGTGTTGCGTTAATTTTTTAATGTGAGTCACAAAATTACAGCTGTCTTCGCGCATCTACTAATCTAATGTTGCCTATCTACAAAATTATATTATTACCCGGCGCATCCACTATTCATAATTTAGAGATAAACGTCACGATAGGAAAGAAACATAAGAAACTAACTGACTTACATAATTTATGTTGGTAATCATTGTGTCATGTTTTTTTTGTTTCCTATTTTATTTTATGCAATTCGAAAACTCAGCGCAAAATCCGCTCATTTCCCGGCAGGCACTTTTTCTCCACAAACGCGATTTACGGCGACCGCCGTTTTTTTGCTGGCGCAACACAAAAGGAAACGATATTAATAAAATTCCGAAATATTATTATTTATTTCGACGTTGTTCCTTTGTTTATTACCACCCTCAGCAATCAATTACCAATTGAGGTTAGATAATCTTAATGTCATTTAATTACGTCAAACAAACAAAGCCTCCTTGATACTAAATGCACTTAATATATAAACGTAAGCGAAAGTAGATTTGTTTGAGTTATTGTTAAAGATTTGTGTTAACTTTGTTTTTGTTTTCAGAAATACATCAGCGAGGGTTCGACTGTTCGGGACTGCGTCGGCAAATGCACGGAGAAACGTAAGTGCCGCAAATCTCAATTGAATTCCAGGCGAATCGAAATAAAATCGCGAAATAAAATGGTTTCGACAATGGAAACTCACTTTTAACAGAAGAGAACGCGGAGGATCCGCAACAAAACGCGCGCGGTTGTAAAATAACGGAATTAAGGGGAAAAAGTTCCGCCCTATTTCCCTTCCGTTTGTCTCTCGGCAAGTACACTTCGCTTGCAAATTAAGAGTAAAAAGTAAATAGCGAACATTAAACACAACTTTTTTCTCCTTATTAATAAGTTCTTTTTGTTGAAAAAATAATCTTCAAAGTTAAATGAAAAATTGGTAATTTTCTATGCATTTGTACGGACATTATTAATCAACTTGTTTCTTTACTTTCTTACGGTTTCTTTCGTAAGAACAAGTTGGCAACCTTTTTGACATGCGTAACTTAACCTTAACCAAATTATTTTAAAGTATCCTTGACAACAGAATGACGTAACGTTCTTTGTTCCTTGAAAACGGTTGTACTTTTTACGTTTATAAATAAGACAATTATTACGTGCAAAAAGGGACTACAGATATAATTCAAAAGTGGAATTTTAATTAGAAACGAACGTACCTGGAATTCTATAGAATTGAATGAATGAAACCAATTAAAAAAATATATCAATCGAGTCGAGTTCAAACTTTCCCATTCAACGTCGTTAAAGAGTCGGAGAGTAGGCGTACGAATCTACGTAATTCATAATTTACGTTACGTAATTGTTTTGTTTTCTTTTTACGCGCACGTAAACAAACGTAATACAAAAAAAAAACAGAAAGAGCGCAAATTAAAATTTCATAATTTAATTTACTTCCAAATTGAAAACGTCCGTTTTACCTGAGTTTTTTTTTATATATATTTTTCTTCCCCTATGCGTGTCTTTCCCTTATACGTCGAGGGAGACATAAAGGGCTTCTCGATATAAAATAATAATTGAAGTTCTCTGAGAAGAACACACATATAAAAAAAGAAGAAGGAAGAAACAAAATTTAACAGGAAACACGAAACTGAAACAGGAAGTGCAATTTATGGATGGACTCTTCTGTATTGCTTTACACGAATCCATCTAGTGTCAAATTGTGGAGCTTTTCTGGGTGTCCTCAGGAGAGAGATAATAACGGACAGGTTTATTTTCTCAATTCCTTTCATTCATTTCTAAGTCCTTTTATTTCTGGGTTTGTTTGTTTGTTTTACGGCGTTTAATAATTACGAAATAATGCAAAGCCCGACGCGACTGAATTATATTTAATACGCGAAAATCCTTCCCTTTGTACCGTTCCACCATTGTTTTTTTTTGTTATTTTGGAGGTGAAGGGGGGACCAATTTTAATTGAAACTTTTGTTTCCGTAATTCGCATTTGCATCGCACAGCAATTTCCACCTGATTTAAATAAGATTTATAAATTGTCTAATGTAAAAGAAATAGTTGAATTAAGATGGGATTGAGATAGAAAGTAATTAATTAACTTAAAATATGGAGTGTCTGCTTCTGAGGAGGACGCAAATTACGTTCCCTTAATAAATTAGCGCTAGACAAATTTAATAGGTTTAGTTAGCAGTTGCTCAACGCGAATGGATAAGCTGCAGGCGTCAATGAGGAGAAAAATTATGAAAAGCTAAAGCCACCCAGAATTTCCCATCTATTTCCATCTTTCTCACACATTCGCTCACTCACTAACTCTTTCTTACTTTCGTTAGATCCGCGTCGACTTCTCGATATGAGACAGCCGCACAATTCGAAATCCCTTCCAGCTGGCATTGATAAATGGGTTAACCATGCTGCAGATAACAAACACACACATAGACCCACCCGAACGCCACATGCACTAATGTACCATCAGATCTTTAATCCAGTTAAACTAATCATGTCTTAATTACTAATCGCCATCTGCTATATCGATTTGATAGGTTAAGTTAAGTAATACATGTCAAATATGTTTGGTTACAATTACCTTGGCAACATAAACAATTTATCATTTGATTGTCAATATCTATTATTTTCTTTGACAACATATGACAGATACGTCAAATATTTTGACATTACGAAAGAAATTATAATTATTACTTAAATCACTTAAGTTATTAATAGCGTAATTGTACATTTAGTCGGTACAAATGTCGCAAGTAAACAAAACGTCTGTTGACTGCAGTAATTGCTTTCGAGTTAATTAAGATGCGGCATCTGCTCACTGATTCGGTGTGATATAAATATGTCGTGTGCACGTTTTCGGTTGTACCGCAGCGCGTTGAATGTTTCGGTATAATTAAGGGATGAAATCCTGCTGCAAGAATTGCAGAAAGAAGAAAAAAAGGATACATAATCATATCAGCTATGTTGTGGGATTAGCGAAAATTGTCGTGCAAGAGAGGAAAAAGGGAGAGCTTTTAATCCCTGAAAGGGTTTTAGGGAAGTTTTTTGTTGGACTCGTGTTGGTAATCTATTTTTTTTTTGCATTCATTAAAGTTAATTACTGCAGTTTTGGGAACTTCGACCTACTGCTGCTCCCGCTTTTGTTCGAAGTTGCTTTGGCGACGCCCATTAGAATCAGTTACCATGGGCAACCACAACAAAATAATTGAATTGTATCAAATGAACAAACGCATGTAACACGTAACGTAACTTAAAGTAACGTTAATTAATCTTAACCAACATAACAATTGTTAATGTATTTAATTTCTAGTGCGCAAAGTTTTAACTCAAATACAATAATTTGATAATATTAGTATTTAGAACTTTGCGAATAATTGTTTCTAACTTTAATAATAAAATAAACAAGTTTAATCGAAACCAAAGTCATCACAAGTTTCGAATTCAATTAGCTAAAACTTATCATGTCGTTTCCCTACATTGCGAACTTACTCGAAACTCCTTTGAATTAGGTATTTCTATTATAAAATCATTCATTGTCATGTTTCGCTTATCAAAATTTTTGATTCTAAATTAGTGTATTATAACAATTAGTTACAGATTTTACACAAAATATCACCAATTCAAGTTAGAACTTTTTTTTAATGACAAAATGAGGCACGTATTAACCGCAAGTTAATTACGTTATCCGCAAACTGTAATTAGTTGCATCTGCTGAATCGAATTTTACGCTTTGGGAATAGCAATCGGCACTGGAAAAACACGAAATTACAAATTTCAAATAGAAAAAAGACTCTCTTGTTACATCTGCTCTAAACACTGTAAATTATAAATATTCTAAATTATCATCAATTATCTCCAACTACAAACATTTTGTTGGATCAAATTGTGTTTACGTTATGGGCATTATTTGATCAGGATTTATAGCTTACGTTAGATTAATTGTGATTCATAGTTCGACCGATATTGCTGTTTTCAATTGCTTAATTATATAAATATGTTAAACAGTTATTATTATATGCGTATTCAATTAACGTATACGTTAATTAATGTTCATTAATTTCTGGTAATATATTAACAATTACGTTTTGTAAATTATGAAATATAATCATTTTCAATATAATTAGCAGGCTTTGCAGTTACCTTTTGTTATTTTGTTTTATAAAATTGTTTGGGCTTACATTAATGAACGTGCGAATGCTTTGTTTACTAATTAAGTAATTGATATACAAACTGAAAAGAGAATATCAAAATATATTAGCAACACAAATCTTCCCTTTTTGTTGTTTCGTAACGCCGAGATTGATTACATTTAAATGTAACACAAAAAAAAAGGATGATTAAATCTTTGTTCGCATACTTTTTTTTTCTTTGTTTAGTAATCAAGTAATTACCGACTCAAATATTTGGGTTAATTCAGAGCTTGGAAATCGGCAAACCCGGCGCATTCATCATTTAATTTTAGAGCGCGAGACACAAATGCAAGTTGACAGATCGAAATGGATTGCGCGCGATGTAATTTGTTTACGTGCGCAAAATTATGCGAAATTTTTATGTACCGAAAAAGCTCCTCTCACCGATTCTCGTACATCTTAATAAATGTCTATCGCAAATTGGAGCAACGCGCAGCATCGCTGTTAGCCACGATAACACTTAAAATTATTTAAAAAGGGGAAGCTCAGCGAATGCAAGAGCTCAAGTCGATTCAATAAAAATTGTTGGGAAAGGCTGCTCGGGTGAGAAATAAATATAAAACGAAATAAATCGTAGTCGGCCCTTTTCATTTTTGTTCTATATATATATATACATTTGCACCCTTTTCGTTACGTTACGGTACGAATATGGTGTTTTCTTTTTTTTTGACAATAAATCCGCGTCCGTTCCAATCCGTAACCCGGCAACGGATTGATCTTCGATTGTTTTATAACTAGGGAACGTGACGTAACTGGGTTACGAAGGCGATTATGTAATCGCTCTTTCCCAACCCAAAACACTTGCAGAAGACGTTCGTCATCTGCGAAAGCCCTCCCGCATCCAGCGCTAATTACGCGCACGCACCTTAACTGTAATTAGATTTTAATACGTTCCAAGAGCACTTTTTTTGCGCCGCAATCTCGCGATTATAATTTGAAGTAATTACGAGAAGAAAAAAAAACGTTAATTATATTTAATCGTAATTAAAACGAGCGAGAGAGTTGTTTGTTCTCTAATGAAGACAAGATTATATTTGTATGGAATTATTAATTCGTAAACATCGAAATTAATTTGCTGATGCGATTATGCGAAACGGTACGGTAAATTCCTTTTGCAATAATAATTTAAGTACTCTAAATATGTGCAACTGGCATTCGCAATAACGCAGCAGGAAAGCTGCACTGCAGGTATTGCATTCCGGGCTCTAAACCTCTCATATGTCACTACCCTGCAGGATCCTGCCGCTTTTAGTTATTTACTAAAATATTTACGTTTAAAAAATCAATATTTTGAGTATCATTCAACGTAGATTACAATAGATTATCTCTGAAACGTTTCTGAAAAGAAGAAAAAAAACGTGCGAATACGACTTTTGCCATTTCAATTCACGCGTTTCATCTGAATCTCGTTTCCTCCGAAGTGCGGATGATACGGCAAACGAACATCCGCAATTTCCTTATCTATATCTCTCTTTTTTTCGCCCCAAACGAAAATCGCGGCGATTCGACTTATCTCAAAGTTACCGGAAGTTGGGCTTACGACATTTTAGGCGCGGTAAACTTTTTAAATAAAACCTAAACTTTCCCCCCAACCCGACAACTTTACTAATAATAAAGTGTCAATTAATGTCACAATTAAAACGCAGCATTGATCCACACGTTCATGAATAATTCCATTATTCACGCTTGCAAACTAAATATACAATTCTATATTTGCATGGAACGTTACATTCAATTGCGCGAAATCAATTGCAATCGCTGAATTTGATATCCAATTGTAACAAACATCGTTAATAAAGAAACCAATATCACCGGAATACCAACTGAGAAACTGCGGTTTGCAGAAACCTTCAACGTGTCTTGTTGCAGAAATTAGTTCGCGCGAAATGAATTGCATTAATTAAAACTTGCGATGAGTCCGTGTTTCGACGAATGCACCGATTTGTTTTCCCACGAAATTACAAAAAAAAATAAATAGCAGAAGAAACAAAGAGCGGAAAACCGGAAACATTCCAAACAACAACAAAAAAAACTAATCCCGGGAGCTTATTATTTCCTCGACGGGAATTTATATTGCTCGCATTCCTTTCGCGTCCGGGTTTATAATAAATTAAGCGCATCTAATGTATCCAGCAGGAAATTAAACAAAAGGGAACGATGTAAATCGCGGCGATAAATATTGAAAATGAGAAAAACAGCAGATCTAGACGGTTTGTACCGATTGCATCAATTTAGGTGATTGCGATGATGATCGCGGAGGAGAGTACAAGAAAACGAGAGAAAAAAAAAAGTAAAGGGATTGAGAATCAAGGCAAGGCAAGTGGATGCTTTTAGAGTGTGGATGAAGCCCGTCTTTTGTATACTTGTTTCCATTCCCATTCGTTTAATCCTTCAGGAAATCTTCCGCTCTGAGTGGCAATATGTTGTGTGAGCCGGGGAAACAGTGAGCAGGAAGCCGGGCTTATCGAGATTGATAGATAAACATCGAACGGTTAGTGCGGTGGAGCAGAGCGCTCGTTTTAACGGGACACTTTTATCGTTACTCAAACCTTCCCCGGTGATATCTTAAGTTACTTTCTTTAAAAGAAACAAAAAGAAGACTAGTTTTCGATCGAATGCAACGAAAATAGCAATATTGTTACAAGCGAAATGAGTTTAGGTTTCTTTTCTCAACATAATTTACCGAGTAAATAAGTTTTTGGATGGGGGGATACGTACCAATTTCTTTTTGATCCTTGCTATGCAGGTGGTTGGGGGGGGG